ATACCCAGCCGTGAACTTTTGATGAACTCAGGCGAATCCCTTCCTTCAGCAGCAAACCTTGGCAGCTTCAGCTTGTTGCACATTGTCTGGCTAGAGGGTCAATAATATATTTGTCCTTCAACATAGTGATAAGCTGCAGCACTTATAAAGTACATATTCATACATCAAAAGCTAACAAAGTAGCCAACAGATACAGAAACTTCTAAGCCAACACAAGGTGCTAATTCATACTTCACATTGTGCACAGCAGTAATTGGTCTGCATTCTCTAAAGGTTACAAGTCACTCTACACGGTTTACATCAGCTTCTTAATAGAGTCCTAATGATTACATTCTTTATGCGTTATGAAGTGCTAAATAATATTCCATATTTGCACTATATGTAATGTCTTTGCACTTCATCTGTTTCAAATTAAATGCAATTTTTGAAGGCTGACTTTTTCAAAATGAACTCAAAGTCTTCTGCATTGAAGTCTCCATCTGTTTGACTTTAATTTCATAAACTATTTGTATGTACCAGAAGTGGCATTGATGGAGTGTGATTTATTTTATCCTCTTATACGAATTGGTACCTGCCAATACTTTCATATGAGGTGTTGACAGTATCATTTCATGACAGTCACGTAATCACTTTCTTTTGATACGACCTCCAACACCCTGTATTAACATGCTGTTTCTCGCTAGAGTGATAGAAGCTTCAAAGCTTTGGTATCTACGTCCCATCACTATACTTTACTCTCTGTGAAGTGTTGAGTATCCCACTGTACTGAGTGCTTGTTTCATGACTCACTTTCTGTATATGACTCCTTGTTTTCCTGGGCTTCTTATTTGGGTAGAATTTTGGGTTACGCTTTACTTAAAGCTGTCATCTATAATGCCTTATAGATATCTTCATAATTTTAACACTGCACAGAGATGAGGCAGACCCCGGAATGCAGGAGACTGATGGATTTATTTTATAGCCGAGTGCTTTAAAGCCTACGGGACGAGGCAGGCGGATAGTCGGGTCGAAAGCCGGAGGTCGAAAGCCGGGTGAGTCAGTCCTACGAATAGAGACGAGACGATGGGGCAGGAAGCAGGACGGAGGCAGACCAGGACAACAGGACAGGGAAGGCAGGGAGGAACGGGCAGGCAGGCAGAGACGACCGGGGAAGCAGGGCAGGCACGACGGCAGGACACGGAGAGGTAGGCAGGGCAGGAGGGCAAGACTCGAGACAGAGAAATGCTTAGTAAGTGTCATCTACAGTAGAATGGCAACAATACTTCGCAACTTTGGGCGTTTGCTGTGTGGTTAAGTAGCCTGGTCTGATTGCGATAATCGACGGCTTCTGTGCCGCCCCACCCCTGGGGACATGACAATAATGCATTTTAATAAGAACATAAGAACATAAGAAATTTACAAACGAGAGGAGGCCATTCGGCCCATCAAGCTCGTTTGGGGAGAACTTAACTAATAGCTCAGAGTTGTTAAAATCTTATCTAGCTCTGATTTAAAGGAACCCATGGTTTTAGCTTCCACTACACTAGCAGGAAGACTATTCCATACTCTAACTACACGCTGTGTAAAGAAGTGCTTCCTCAAATTTGTTTTAAAATGTTCTCCCGCTAATTTCCACTTATGGCCACGAGTTCTAGTATTTAGACTAATATTGAAATAGTCATTTGGCTGAACAGCATCCAGACCCGTTAGAATCTTATAGACCTGAATCATATCCCCCCTTAGTCTCCTTTGCTCAAGGCTAAACAGATTCAGTTCCGCTAACCTCTCCTCATAAGACATTCCTCTAAGACCAGGAATCATTCTCGTAGCTCTTCGTTGCACCTTTTCTAAGGCAGCAATGTCCTTCTTGAGGTATGGTGACCAAACCTGCACACAGTATTCTAGGTGGGGTCTTACCAAGGAATTATATAAGTGTAACATCACCTCCCTTGACTTAAACTCCACACACCTAGAGATATAACCCAACATTCTGTTCGCCTTTTTTATTGCTTCCCCACACTGGCGAGAGTGGGACATGGAAGCATCAACATACATACCGAGATCTTTCTCGTAATCAGCTACCTTTATTTCAGTGGAACCCATAAAATATCTGTACTTTATATTTCTGCTCCCTGCATGGATTACCTTACATTTATCTGTGTTAAATTTCATCTGCCAAGTATCAGCCCATTCGCTAATTAAATCCAGATCCCGTTGAAGCCTCTCTGCTGCTAGATCAGTATCTGCTACACCGCCCACCTTGGTGTCGTCTGCAAATTTCACCAGTTTACTGTATGTATTTCTGTCAATATCATTAATGTAAATTAGGAACAATAGTGGTCCTAAAATTGAACCCTGCGGTACCCCACTATGAACGGAGGCCCACTGTGACATTGTGCCTCTAATAACTTCCAATGGTCAAAATAAGAATTAATAAAGCATAACTGCATCTTCTATTGACAGTCCTATGGTATTATAGTGTTGATTATAATACTTCATAAGCTACAATGAAACTCTATACACTATAGATATGCATAAAGAATTCATAATGAATAATAAACATGGCTATGTGCTATGCCTTTTCATAAATATTTTTATCCATGATTATAATGCTTTATGAATGTATTATAATGTGTTACGGATGCATTCATAAATTCTTATAGACATGGCATTCATGGAAGGTATAACCTTCTCAATCCTATAGTTAAAATGATGGGCAGGTTTAACAGCATACTGGAAGGTTTCCAATGAATAATAGTTGCACATAATGGAACACAACTACTTTGACTCCAAGGTAAGAATTAGTGAGTCATGATTTAAATGCATACATTTACATTACTATGGGATACAAACAATACAAAACCTTAAGAAAAAAACATACATAGAAGAAAGCAGACAATGCTTAGTGAAGTATTGCATTTAAAAAGCCAGAGGACCCGCAGGCACCCCTGCAGTCACAGCCAAGGAGACCGAGGGTGAGCCAGGGGACAGGGCAGGCAGGACCCATCCCCTGTGTAGGGTCCTCTCCCCTTCCAGGACACTGATAGGTGGGGACCTGGCCGGGATCGACCCTGCTGGGGCAATGGCGGAGAAGTCCTCCTCCTGGAGGAGTCCATTGGGGCTGTTAGGGTGGTTAAAGGGAACCACTCCATCATATTATAGCTTCAAACAGTGAGCACCACCTGCAGCTGTTCGCTTTGCAATGTGAAAACTCATCCAAAGACCTGCATGAGATACAAAGAGTTTATGAGAGAGTTATCTGTTAAAGTAGATCTTAGTAGTTGCCCTGGCAAATTAATTAAACTGAAAAAGTCTTTTGATTTAAATAAACAAGCCTTTAAGATGTAATGGATTTAATCCACCGCTATTAACATAAATATTCATTTGCTTTGTGCTTTGAATTATTTTTTTTTCTTGATATCTAAATAAAGCATTCGCAAGCATAAAATGTGTTTCTACACAAGACTTTGTAAATTACGTTTTCTAATTTTAATCACTACTGTAAAAATCTCACGTCTTGGCCGTGCTATCTGCCACGCCCCTCCTATTTCCTGTTTGCCTGCCTGCCTTATCTCTTGTTTCTGTCATTTTGTTAATCGTCCCCAGCTCTCTCCTGTCTGCCTGGCCTATTGTGCTTCCCTAGTTTGTGTCCCCAGTTATCCTGCTTTTCTCTGTTTGACTCTCCTCAGTTTAATAAAACCCTTTTTGTTCACCCACCACCTCTGTTCCCGCTTCCTTCATCCTGCTGGTCGTGACAAAATGACTGGTCTCTCAAAGAAGCTTCTCGGCTGTTCTGTCAGGCCCAAACTTCAAGTTTCCCAACATCCTGCTGACCGAATCCCCCTTGTTCCCCGAATCTGGAGACCCGAGAGGTCCCCCGAACTGCCAGATCCAGCCTCATCTGCAAGCAGATGTTTATATTGGCCCCTCAGAAGCCACCAGGTATGGAGGGTCCACCCTGCCGTGTGGAGTAATCTGGAGATCGACTTGCTATTTATGCAAGCAGATAGGTTACCAGGGGAGCCAACCCCAGACCAGGATACCCAGCCGGCAGAGGAGGTTCGGTGGAGCTTGAGGGAGATGGAGCGGCTCGTCAAACCAGAAGCCACACAGACTGTTATTATCTTCGGCGGCACTCACCCTGTGGCCTTGTGCCTACGACCAAATCACAGCCATGATATATTTATTGGTGTATGTAGCATCTTGTTAAATGGACCAGTGGGAAGGCCACACTCACAAAGACACTAGATTCTAGAGTTGTTATACAACCAAACCTGAGGCTTTGAATTTTTTTTTTAAATTTTGTAACTAACTTAATTTTGTTCTTTATTAGTTCTTTTCTGTGTGGAAATATGAGCTTATCTGCTGTCCACATGCGAGGGCTTGGTGGTTCAGGCCGATGCTGCAGGCACCATACAGCAGCTGGCCAGGCCACCATAGGCTTGCTGTCCTGCATGCGGGGTCTCCTGGGACTGGCTCGCCATCCTGTCTAACTGGAAATCTTCTATCCCATACAAAAAAAAACAATCAAAGCCCTCCTTTCATTAAACAACAAAAAAAAAATTTAAATACCCGTCCTTTTGCGGTACATCAGTCAGAACAAGGTATCAAACTTCTCAATAAGGAGCACTCAAATTCATCCGCGAACTTGTCTGGGCAAGGTTTTTTTTCTTTTGGAGGCAAAATGCGCGTGTGCGGCTCAAGACAAACTGCACCTGCGTCACCCCCATTCTAGCTGGGCTACACGCACAACCTCATTCCTTCTCATATGTTATTGCTTAAATAGGCTTCATTGAAGCTCTAATGTATAATGCAATGTTTCAAGTGGCTATAAAGTGTTATGCCTTTTTGTAAATATTTATAGCCGTGTTTATAATGTTTTATGAATACATTACAATGCATTTTGAGTGTTTATAAATTACTAAAAACTTAAGTAAAGTGTTACCAAATTATCTATAATTTGTAATTATATAATAGCACTATTTAATTTTAAGTCAATCACCAGACTTTTCATGCTTGGTAAAACTTTATTCAGATAATAACCATGGTCATAACAAGCATCATTCAAAGTGCAAAGCAAATTACATATTGCATAAGCTTAAATGCTGTGGATTAAATTCAATATATGTTAAAGCATTTTTCTTTTAACTTATTTGGCATATAAGAAATTAGAATTAATCTATTTCAACAGATAATTAAAACTTCATCACATACTGATCTATAGATGTGTGTTCAATGTTTACTGAAAAGATAACTTTTACGTGACGTCATCTAGCCCACTGGTTCACAAAATTCCACATTGTCCTGTTGGACTGGCATCGCAAATTTTTAAATAATTTCTGCTGAAGCTTTTCAGGTCTGCATTTAAAAACAAGGGCTGTGACATTACACTGTATTCCTCGTATGCCGTTCGGCTACATTATTTTTGGCTCAGGAAGTACAATGAATGAATACATTTTTAGATATCGGCAAAACCTAAATTAACAAATAGCTGTTCAACATGGAAAACATTATGCTAATTGTGGCTGTGAGTTGGTTACAGCTAGTGCCAGAGAGCTCAAAGACCCCCCCACAGCACGAAAATCAGTAGCTTTGGTTTTGTTATTCAGACCCACCACCTAGTGGGTGTCACACATCTCTGGCAGTGTTATTTTGGAGATTGGGCTGAAAAGTTTGGGAATCTGTCCTATAGCGATTTATATTGCAATGCAAATGGCAACACCAGCAAAGCAAATGACACCTTTAATTATTAAAGGAGCAGTTCATAAATTTGTACGCAGCCGTTTCTCCTTTCCTAACAGAATGCCATTTCGAGATTCGAAGATCTTTGCTTGGGTAGTGTTCATAGTTGATGGTATGTAATCTCTACAGGTTGGACCACCCAAGCTGGGTGCACACGTTACTGTGTAGGTGAAGAAGAAGGTACCATACTCAAACATGCAGGAATCTGAAACCGTTCCTCTTCTAATGTCAAAAGAGCACTTCCCAAGAAGATTACGGTTCCAAAATGAATCATCGTCATATACTTCAAATGTTAGCTTTGTGACCATATTAATATTGACAGCACCAAACTCAAACTTTTCTTGCCAGACAGGATTGTCATTATTTGAAATAATCTCTGTCTGCTTAATCTGCGTACCATATGACACCTGAACAGCGCCATCGGTTTTGGAAAATAAGTCACCATGCAACTTCTTTGCTTTCAAATTATACACTTCCAGTGTTGCCATTCCACTGGTAATAGGACAGCAGTTTGAAGCTATATTCTGATTGCTAATGCAGACACAGGCACAGTGATCCCTCACGGACGATCTTGTTCCTATCTGACAGTATTCAGAGCAGTTGTTCAGCAGTGCATTCTGTATGATGTACTCTTCTACTGCTTTCTTAACTCCCCCAATTGCTGCATGTCCACTAGGCAGTAAGAAATGTAGGGGTCTGAGGGAGTAAAATACTATATCTGGAATGTTTTTCAAGGAATCCAGCCAACTCTTGTATGCACTTGGATCTGAACCACCTGAGAAAAGCAAATCTGCTGTAGAAACATGCCCACCCACCACCTCAGAGTGGCGATCACTGAACAAGCTGCTAAAGGTCTGGTTGTGGCCTATTTTCTTCTTAAGTTCATTGCAGTGGTGGAAATTTATGATTAACGTTGAATCCTGCTGAAATACTGCTGAAGCCTCCACATCCAGGCAGTCTTTAACAGCTGTGTCTGTTAGTCCACTCAGTGTAGCCAGGCAGGTCCTAATTGCAGTGATGCTCTCTAATTTTCCACCAGTCTGCACTTCTGTAATAAAATGGGTTCCATATGTGTCAATCAGATATTGGTACTGAGCTTTAGTGTTAGAGTTGTACTCTTTAGGTAAGTTCTCGATGGACTCCAGAAACTCTTTGTGAAGAGGGGGTTTGGAAGCCACTCTGTACCTGGGAAAGGCAGGGGTGACATAAAACAGTTATTGGGGTAGAGATCAAAAATTGATTTCAATATCTTGGTCAATGTTTAATTTCATTGCTGCCTAGAATAACCATAAATATACTTTGAGTGCAATGAACTTAGATTATTTATTTCACTCTCCTTGCTAGAACCTATGCTACAAACTGATAAATGTAACATGACTTTTTGAGCCTATTTTTAAGTATTTTAGCTTTAACTCATTATTTATGTCTTGCTATTTTTCCTTGTTAGTATTTCTAAACATTTTGCAAGATCTTCCAAAAGCGAGTCTCACCTGTAAAAGTTGCAGTGAACCTGATGTTTGGTGAAGCTGTATTTGTCTTCCTTTGATTTCTTCATGGAATAAATCGCCGACCGTGATTGGGTACCACCAAGTATTATACCAGATACAAGCTTTAGGCCAATTTTCCACTTGTTTGTCACACTGGATGTGCTGTCATTGACAACAGCTTCACTGGATTTGTACACAGTGCTGGAGACCTTCATGTCACATTTGAAGAGGGCTCTCCAGTCCACCACAGCTAATGGAATCTTCTGTTGAATCCCACCCAAGTAAGGGTTTCGTGTAAGTTGACAGGTTCCATCTCCATTTCTCCACTGCTCAGCATCGATCACATATGCACCTTTGCGCTCCATCTTCACAATGTCAAAGCCTTCTCCTCCTAGGTTGTAGCCAGGGACAAAGGGAGCCTTTTCACACTCTTCTGGGTTTCCAATGACCACGGCTCCTAAGATGCCAGGAGACTGGAGATGACATAACCAGCCCAGGAAAAGGAGTCTCCACAGTCCCTCCATCAGTGGTGATTCAGGTCTGATTCACTCTTAAATAAACAAAACACATACTTCAGACACATGACTTTGATGTAATATTTGATGCTGCATAACCATGAACAAGAGAAACCAGACATCCAGACCCATTCATATATGAAGTTTCCATGTTTAAAAGCACAGTCTGAGGTGGGTACCGAGGAGAAAACAGTATTGGATTTATCAGACTGCTCCTTTCCAGTTCAACAGAACAATTAGCTTTACAAAAAGCACACATTTCACACTCATTTTTCAAATGTTAAAATATAACTTTTTAAAATCAGTAAAAAAAAATTGAGAATTTCCTATCGGCTCATACGCTAACTAAAAGTTATAAAAGGTTATATCCTTCCTTTAGTTTTACATTGCATTTGCAAATTACACAACAAATATGTTAGTTGATCGAATTGCACATTTCTACACATATTTCTCTGTTGAAAATAACTTGATATATTGGATACACAAGTTACCATTCATAGGATCCTACCTTATTCAGTGAGCGGTCAAAGATAATGTTGAATATTGATTAGTGAACAGTGGGCAAATTAGGGGACTTGGTTAGACTGCTCATCTTTTATATGCAGCTTAACGGCACTCTGTGGTTTTGCAAACTTCCGTTTGCAAATGAATGATCGCTCAAATGATAAGAGACTATTTGGTAATGCTTTTCATTAACTGCAATTTCCAAAT